CACAGTATGTTACTGTATATCTGTATAGTTCAATGTTCATTGACAATAAATATTGTTGTTTATGAATTGTACTTTCTTTATTTGATTGGCAGTCAGTTGTTGACATGCAGACGTTGATAAAGCTACAGCTACTTCAATATATATCACACTAATTCATAAAGCAACTTAGACATTTTGATGTTCCGGACCTTTGCATGGGGACATTTTCTCTAACTGGACCTCGTTGAATTTTAGTTGAATACCCCTGCACTACGCCATGCGGGGGGTTTTCCTTTCAGCGAGGATCGACTCCGTGCCGATCACGGCCCCACTGCGGTAGGGACGCGCAAAATTAGGTGCTACATCTGTAAATGATAAAGGGACTGAATTTAAATAGCGCTTTATCAGGTAATTTCAACACCTCAAAGCACTTCACATAGTACAAGTCATTCACCCATTCACACCTCATTCATACAGAGCAGTGCCAAATGCTATTGGAAACTTAGGTGCTTGCCCCACGGGAACGCATACGGCAAAACGCATAGGATTAACGCAATCGCAATCGCAAAAAAGCTTCCGTCCACACGCAATATACAGCTCCGTTTAGCTCCAACCGCTGGAAAAAGCTGCAGTACATATGCCGAGCCTGTACGTGGCGCTGTAACGGAGCGTCCACACAGCAGTGTTAAAAAAATCTTGAAACGCTTCTGCCCATTCACTTTGAATGGGGTGACGTCACTTTGCCTCACTTTTCGCCGAACTGCATTGTGGGCAGCAGAGCGGAGATTTTCAGGATTTTCAGGATTCAAAGTTGAGCAATGTTCAACTTTTGAAGCTGAGGTGGAAGCGTCAGCCAATCAAATCCCATTTATGCAAATCTGACAGTTCAAGTGCTAGCCAATCAAACCGCGTATAAGCTGGGAGAGACATACCGCAGGTCATTTCCTCATATTCCAAAAAATGGAGGAGAAATTAGCGGTAGGGGATCACCCGGTGCTTTATGACCAGTCCCTATTTACCTACCGGGATATAAACCGGAGGAGCCAGGCATGGAGGGAGGTGGCAGAGACAGTGGTAGGTTTTCGCCTGTTTGGGGAGTTTATATCCAGTTTACTTCGGGCTTTTTTGCTTTGTATGTCGGGGGCGGGAGATTCATGTGATTGGTTGTTGGTCGCGTTGCTCGCAAAAAATCCCCAAGCTTCAGATACGCCCACCTCCAAGATTTTTTTAACGCTGCTGTGTGGACGCTCCGTAACTTCCTCCACAAAAGCAGTGAAGAAGCATGGTTGTCATGGTTGCCCTTCTGTTTATTCTCCGTGGTGGGGGCCGAGGGAACCGGGCAGAGTTTTTCGCCGGTCAACGTGTGTAAAAGTTTAAATCTTCCGGACAAAATTATAAAAGTGCCGGTCAAAGGTCTTCTTTGTTATTTATTAAGCTTTAAAACAAATGAATAACGACTATATATAATAATAAAATACACGGAGCCTGGCCTCTCTTTTTCCTCTCTTCTGACAGCGTCAGTGTCTGTCTCATGCAGCAGCTGATCCAGTAATGAGTGACCCGGCCGACAGTAAATAATAAACATATTTATAACTAGTTTAGGTAGTTTGAGAGGTAATTAAAATAGCTAAGGGTGATGATCTGACTTGAAGTGTGTGTTTTGCTCCTCCCGCTGCATCACAGCAGGAGGAGCTGCGTGTCTCGGGACCCGTTATCGTTACCGCAGTTGTTGACTGCCATATTCGGTCGTCCTAGTGTGGCAGAACGGTCTATATGACACTAAACAGTTACGCAAACGGCCGTATGCATTCCCGTGGGGCAAGCACCTTACATTCACACACATTCATACACCCTTGGCCGTGCCATCAGGAGCAATTTAGGGTTAAGTATCTTGCCGAAGGACACATCGAGGTGATGACTGCATGGGCTGGGGTCGAACCATGTTTATTGAACGATGTATTTTAGTTTTTCACCGTCTGTTACTTTTTTGATACCGCCACTATGTATGCCAAAGTAACATTTTAAAACACACATTCATTTAAAGTTGCACAGCATAAAAACACAGCATTATTAATAAAAGTTCTGCATATACAGTGTTACCTAAACTTGCATCATTTTATTTGTCAGTGACTTTAAAATATAACATTCACATATCTTAATCTCTGCCAAGGAAGTTGTTCTCAATTTTTTTCTGTCTGTTTCTCTGCAGGATCAGGAAAAAATGTTTTGGCAATAAGCAGTGAATGACAAAGTATTGCACTGACTCAATTGATAAATACCTCAAAAAATGCCAGAAACATCGATACTGAGACACAAAGATTGCTAACAATTCTCTCTCTGTGCTGTAATCCAATCAATTAAGGCAGTGCTTCCACCATAGGGATCTCTGCGAATGTCAAACAGTGAGCTCGTAAATAATGAAAAGACAAAATATTGATATTTTATGGCATTGGCAGTCAGGGGAAAAGAATACCTTCCCAGAAATGGAGCAGCAAAGAAGCTGGCACTACTGTTGCCAAATAACCAACACAACAAGAGGCGTGATGGCCCTGTGGACACGGGGATACATATTTCTGTCAGCACTCCATCAATATTTATGTTAGAGAGGCCGAGTCAGAGCAGGCAGCAGTTAAACTAATCAACAGCTCCTGCGCCTGAGCCCTGTTGCCACGGCGTTACATCAAATGCATTTACTTTAATTTTACACTCCTGTCGTGTTCATTTTCTCACCCCTTACTTTGGTGTTCACGTCTGTTTCAACGACTCTTACATGAACACAAAAACCATTCATCATCACCAAATTGTATTTAACACCCTTTTAAGATGTAAACAGTGTCTCTAAATAGACACCGAAAATGTATTCCAAAATTAACACATTGTCGCTTTGTGGGAGTTTACTATCTGATGGATGAACACAATGGGTTACCCCTTCATTTCCTATGGCGGTCACTTTTGACCGGGAACACCATAGCTGTAACAAAGTGGTCTTAACCACTCAAATTCGATGAAAGTGGTTATCAGCATTTTGATATGATCACATGTGGAGGATATCATAAGTCCTTTAAGCAATAAAATGTAAAACACAATATTTATCATTGATAAAAGTTGTAAAACGGTCAGATTTTACCCAAACACTACAGGAGGGTTACAAAAATAAAGACAGGAAGAGAATGGATGCTTGCTGTTCCCTCTTCTATCAGAAACCAGTGAGGAAACAGTGCTGCCAGTCTACTTTATCGCCGCAATTATGATTCAGCATCTGTTCCTCTTAGCTTGTGATCAGCTAGCGCCGGCGCTGGGGGGGGGCTGGAAGGCCAACCTCTGGAGACGAGCCGCAGATTGCTCTGAGGTGCTGGCACGTCGCCAAGCCAATTCTGTCTTGTCCTTTCAGATCCTTATCAAGGGCGCCAATAACAAAAGGTAAATCACAGCTCGTATGAGTGAGTGAGGGATACAGAAAGGGACTACTGTGTGTGTGTATGCTGCATCTGTGTCCGTGTGTACTTACAGTGACCTCTGTGAGCATGTGTATAGATGAACATCTGTGATCTGCTTTGTTTGCAAATGAACATGTGTGCATTTTCATCGAGCAAAGAGGTGATTTTATGTTAGGTTTGTCTGTCTGTTTGTCGGATCACAGAAAACCTACCGAACCGATTTTTCACGTTCACAAGCCATGTCCCTACTGACTGACACTACTGCCTCCCCATCATTGGATGCAGGGCCGGTTTTTGGCATATGCGAAAGACGCGGTCGCCTAGGGCGCCAGATCTGGGGCGGCGCTGCGCTGGTAGCTCTGGGAGGAAAAAAAAAAATGTTTGACTGTTTGCGCTCATCCTAATTTTCTGCCTTGATGTAACAACATTCATAATTAAGTAAAGGTAACACCCTTTTCACCCCGGTTACATGTTTAATTTTCCCTGTAAGATGGGTGCTGGAAGTGATGAAAGTGGGGGATGTTGGCTTATCAGGCGCCCGCAGCTCACAGACAAAGTGTGAGTGAGCGTGAGAGGGAGAGAGCGTATGGGTACCGGGGATTGTTGTTGTCGCCAGCTAACATCTTGCCTTGGGCAGCAAATTGGTCAGAACCGGCCCTGATTGGATGGATACACAAATTCCCTCCACTTTCGTTAACTTTGAATGATTGGAAAGACTTGTGCCATATGAGGGGCTGTCGGAATATTTGGAATGAATAACTCCTAACTGCAAAATCTCAATTAAGATCTGAAACCGCTATCAATGTGTTTTTCAATGATGTTAAGAAAGAAACCCCAACACAACTTTTTAGTGTCCATGTTTCCACATTATGACTCAAAACATAATAGTATAGTGCAGGGATGACATATTTTTGCAGGCTTACCCGAATGTTAGCAATTCGGCAAAGGAATGGGATTTCCCCATTGGATTTCGGTATATTGCAGAAAATAAGATTTCTGGCAAAAAACACATTCATGATACTTCACGTTTTGTTCAGCAGGATAATCTCCACATATTCACTCCACTTTGTGCAACCAAAATGTAAAAGCTAACGATGGCTATAAACAACCTACATCACGTTCGCAAGGCTGCATATCACCACCGCTAAGCTAATGCAACCGTTTTTTTTTATGACACACCTTTAGACATTTACTTACGTATTCTATTCTTGGAGAACAAAACATGAAAATCTGTTCAGCTTGATTTAACCACAGGTTATTTCAGGCTTCTAACCACAAACACAATAAAAAACAGTTGACTTTGAGAGAAAGGAACTGGAAGTGGATAAATGCTTATTTAAAAGTTATTTATTGGTTTTAGGACTTGTTACTGCACTCTGTATGATGTGATTACACCGAAGTCGGAAGAACAACTTTTCCCAATTGTGGAATCAGGACCATCAGATGAGCAAGTGATTTTTTGGCTTTATCTGCAAGGGGGGCTTTACAAACATCCAAAAGACCAGTTTACTAGCTCTCAGCTAACAAAGCCCCATCCATCCATCCTCCCTCCTTGCCTTCCCCTCCTCCCTCCTCTGCATGTACCTTGTGATCAGGCAGCAGTCGTGAATCAGTGTGTCCTCCACGTAGATGCCCCGGTCCTCATGCGTGGTCACCATGCGGCGGTTGTGACGCCATCGCAGCTCCACCGAAGGGTCCAGGTAGGAAGCGGTGCACTGCAGGGGAAGACGATCCCCACGGAAAACCACCTGTCTCTGGGAAGGGATAAGCTGGAAGAGGGGCATCTCCAGAGGTCCATCTGGAAGAGGAGGAGAGGAGAAAACTGAAATATTGGCGCGTAAACTTTCCCATTCCCTTTCCATGGGAGGAAGAGAGAAATATGTCATCATTACACCTTGGGTGGAAAAAATATGAAGAATAGAAGTTGTATGGTATCAGTTTGATATTGCAAGCAAACTGTCATTTCCAGCTGTGAAATTAAAGCCAACGGATGTTTTCTGGTTCCAAAAAAGAAATTGAGTTGTATAGAAGTCTCTGAAAAAATTACCCTTCTTCTCACACAAATGATTACCTATAGTTGAGCTCAGTGTCTTTTTCGCATATGGTGAAGCAAATTTGTATCTTTTTGAGATAATCTTTTATTAATCTTGGGAAATTAGTGTTTTGTAGAGAATTTATGAACCAATACAACTGACAAGGTGTTACATAAACAGATTTTATCTTGCAATGCATACTGGGATTTATTTTGTATTCTACTAATTCAATATTAGAATAAAATATTAGTGCCTGTTGACCAATCAAAGGCTTTCCAAAATGGCTGGATTCATTCAGAGTTTGGAGACAGAAGAGCAGCTGATGTTGCAACTGTGTTCATCTTATTTTTACTCTTGAAGTATGCCATACAATTCATCTGCAAGCTTAAATATGAGAGAATTGATCCTTTTGAACAATGTAAGTGAATATAATTTATTTTCAGTATATTAAAACCATCTTGTGTCTGGTTCCGAAAAACCTAGTCCAAACTCTAGTCCATCAACCAATGGGTGACTTCACAATGACTACTTCCTCCTCTCACTTACTGTATGCTTGCAAGTGGTGTTAAAATCTACGATTGTGGGATTCCATGCATGATTCATATCAAGCCGTAAACCACAAACCGTCTCTTACCCCATGCAACAAACACACTCAAACATATGTGCATGCCCCCAATGATATCGTCAAGAAACACACACACACACACACGCTGTCAAGGTCACACTCCTCCCCCTTCGTTCACACGTGTTGTTGCTGCTGTTGCTGTGCGAGATGACTCTAACATGTTCACAATGGAAACCTACCAGTGATAGGATTACCTACCTCGCAGCTGACCTCAAGCCTTTTTTTTATTGCCAGATAATATAACTAGGATAAGGATTAAAAGAGAGGGACAGTGCTTAGTGTGGCAGTATTTCTTTATTTTGAAACCCTCAGGACCTGATTGAACTAATCATACTGCAGACACACAACGTGGAAGACAATGTCTCTAATCATGATGAACATGTAAAGATGTATCAGTGTTGCCTGGCCGTGTATTTTCTCCAGGATTAGTCGAGTGCCTTGGCAGATCACTGTACCGCCGCAGGAATTCTTTCCCAGCGCGTTCGTTCAGACAAGACATTTCCCTGGCCACGCTCCAAAGAGCAGCGTAAGCAAGCGCTTTGCCTTCGCTTGTATTCCAATCAATTGTGGATGTTGCTGCTGAAAGGCAATTCGATATATGGGTTATAACGTATTTTATTGCTCCATGCATTGGTTTGAAAAAAGAGAATACTGAAGGATCTGTGTCAGGTGATGTGGCTGAATGTCTCCAGCTCACAACTAAACATTTCCCCTGAGAAAAAAAAAAAAGCAATGACTGTTTATGGGAATATATAACCCAGTAAATAATAATGGCTGTCCCTTAACTTTTCTACATAATAATTACATAATAAAGTGTACAACCGTGCATGCAGCCTGTTGCAGGTGCTCCTGCTAGGTTTGTTCTATTTTAAACTTTTAGCTTTATCATTTGATCTTATTTGTTTTTTTTCTGTTAATAACTTCTATTTGCAACTTATTAAGCTGTGCCCTCTCAAAACTGTCCTATAGAAAGAAATGTTGTTTGTTTTTTAGCTGTTGAGTTGCTGTGTGTCTCCCTTGTTTACACCAGGGAGAAGCTAGTTGTGCTAAAGCCAGCTAGCATGATGGTCAGAACAATGGCTATCCCCACTGACATCTGGAGAGGATACAGGGTTAAATGAAGAGACGAAGGAAGAGAGCTGGCACCAGATTTAAAAAATATATAGATATAAGCCCCCTCTCATCATGGGCAACATAAAATCACTGGATAATGGAATGGACAAGATGACCACGATAGCCAGGAGTTCAACAGGATATATGAAGTGTAGTTTGGTGTGCTTTCCGGGGCATGGCTGCAACAGGATGTATCTAGTGGTGGCATCTGGACTGTTCAGGTGGTGTTTCCAACAGCAGCGTTTTCATTAACGATCCTACCATGAGCCTGAGTCTTCACCATGAGCCTGAGTCTTCACCATGAGCCTGAGTCTTCATCATGTCTTCATCATGAGCCTGAGTCTTCATCATGTCTTCATCATGAGCCTGAGTCTTCATCATGTCTTCATCATGAGCCTGAGTCTTCACCATGAGCCTGAGTCTTCATCATGTCTTCATCATGAGCCTGAGTCTTCACCATGAGCCTGAGTCTTCATCATGTCTTCATCATGAGCCTGAGTCTTCACCATGAGCCTGAGTCTTCATCATGTCTTCATCATGAGCCTGAGTCTTCACCATGAGCCTGAGTCTTCATCATGTCTTCATCATGAGCCTGAGTCTTCACCATGAGCCTGAGTCTTCACCATGAGCCTGAGTCTTCATCATGTCTTCATCATGAGCCTGAGTCTTCACCATGAGCCTGAGTCTTCACCATGTCTTCATCATGAGCCTGAGTCTTCACCATGAGCCTGAGTCTTCACCATGAGCCTGAGTCTTCACCATGAGCCTGAGTCTTCATCATGTCTTCATCATGAGCTTGAGTCTTCACCATGAGCCTGAGTCTTCATCATGTCTTCATCATGAGCCTGAGTCTTCAGAGGTCTCTGTGCTGTGGAGGACATCCCGCCTCATGTGTCTAAGATGTCCCTGTGGACTTATCATGTACATTTTTACTTCAACTTATGTTTATATGTATTGTATTTATTTGTATTCTAACATCGTACAACTATCACAAAAAACACTTTTTCCCCACTGGGATTAATAAAGTATTTTTGAATGATTGAATCATACATGCAGCAAGAGAATCTTGCATGCTTGAGAGAGGGACATTAAAATAAATATGTCACTAATACTGGTTCTTCTATGATGACATCTCTGTGTAATAACAACAGCTGACCCTGTTAGAGTGCTAAGACTCGAAGTTGGTCTTTAACAACAGTAGCTGAGGCTTTGTTATCTCCTGACGCGTAGCAGAAGCAGCATGGGGGCCGTTGACTGTTGACTTGGCAGATGCTGATACTGTTGAAACAATGCTTTGAGCCGAGGATCAGAGAGCGGCTGCCTGCCTCAGCCCACTGGACACTGCCAGAGCAAAATGCAATTATCGGTTGTGTGTTGGAGAAGGAGAGAGACAGAGACAAGAGCCGCTTTCACACCAAGTACGTTGCCGTACTTAGTTCCCAGCACTTAGTTCCCAGCACTTAGTTCCCAACACTTAGTACCCCCATGGAACTAAAGAGCAGATCGCGTTCACACCGGAATAAGTTCCTGAGGGAAGATTACGCAAATGAAGCCGCTGACGTCACTTCTTCTTCTTCTGCTTTGGGTTTACTGGCAGGCCGCAAACAACTTCACGGTGTATACTGCCACCCGAAGTCCCCGGCCGGAAGTCCCCGGTGTTGGGGACTGGCGCCAGTTTCCCTTTATAAATCACAATCAACTCGAAATGCGGCGCAGCTTTTGCGATTTTGGTTCTTTTGGGGAGGTGGAGACAAATCACATTGCTTGGTGGATGCAGAGTAGCAGCATGGAGGTCGGATCGTCACCAAAATAAATAAATAGGTGGTCCGAAAAAAGTTAATGACAAAATACACATAACCTTCCTCAGGCAGTGTGTCAGTGTGTTTGTGCCGGGGACAGGAGACCCCCCCCCCCATGATGAAAAACTGTAAGAAAGTATCGGGGGATCCCTGCGGAGTGGAGTCAATTAATGTTTATTTTTTTATTTGGTGGTTTGTGTTCCAGCTGTCGATCAGCTGTGCGGAGCGTCTCCACTGCAGCCTGTGCGTCTCAACCCCCCCCGCAGCAACTCGTTAAAGGAAATAAAACTAATGTGTTGAGTTATATCAGCTGCCAAATCTACCAAATATATGGTGTTCTTAGTTTCCATACCTCCTGTGTTTTATGAGCAACTTATCAAGTCTTAGCAAACGGCATAAAACATGATTAAACAGGAAAGTATATAAAACCATGCTCGTATCTATACAACCTATAGAAAAGCAAAACGGCCTCAGTTTAGACGTAATTCTGTCCTTCTGCATACCGCATCATTTATGAGAAAACATGTCATAACATATTCGAGGTGGTTTTTTCAATAACATATCCGTATATATTTATTTCTTCAAGTTAGGTGTGCACTGAGGAGTCTCAAACAGGCGTTTGTTTAATCATTTTAAGATTGGCTTTAATCAATGTTTGAAAATGAATTCTTCATATATGATAAATGAGGTAACATTTTATCTATGGTATTATTTCCACATATTTCTCTCCATTCTTCCTTCTGCCAACGGTGTCGCAGTTTCTCGTCTCTTCCGTTTTTGTGCTTAGTGCGTACGCATGGGTCAGAGTTTGCGTGGAGGACCGCACATTTTCCCATCAAGTTAGAATTTTATAAATTGCAAACATTGCGTAGAAACTGGCGTACGCCATCTTTTGAGCGTACGCACCGTTTATAAATGAGGCCCCTGGTCTGTGCTGCGGCTCTCATCTCAGCATTGTTAAAGAACCTGAAGTCCGTGGCTAGATGAGTCAAACAGAATCCTGCCCTGACCTCCACACAGGAAGCACCTGATCCTAGCAGGAAGCTGCACGCGCTGCTACGTTCCCCCTCATTTGCAGGCACAACCTGACCTGTATCAGCATGGGGACAGGAGCTCATTGCTGGAATGTGTGGTGCAGACATCTGCTACCCATCACACTGTAGCCACTGGAGAAAGAAACAGATGCATCTTCGTTGACATGTCTTCATGAAAACAAAAGGGGGAAAAC